TATCCTCGAACTTGTTATCCTTCCTCCCTCATGCTCCTGAGTAGCTGGAATTACAAGCATGCCGTTGTGCTCAGCCTTTTACTGTATACTATTTGCTAACACCATCCGCTAACCACAGTATGTTACAACTGGAAGCAACTTTAGAAAACACATGTGAAAGCAGAAGGCAGTGAAAACTTGAAGCGATTTTCCTGAGCTAACACAGACGGCAATCACAAGAAGAAGAGAATGTAAATCCTAGTTCTTAGCTGGCTCTAGGACCCTGGGACAAGGTAGTATAATGGGGCTGAGCTCTCCGGTCCTAGCCTCTGACCTGAAGTGTCTAATATGCCGCCACCAGGGGGCAGCAGGAGTATTATTCTGGCCCAGTGCATTTCCCCCAACCCTAAATATAAATGTGCACATAATCAACTTTATGAAAATAATTTCAAGAAGCAAACAGCTGAAAGAGTATCACAAATAACTTTTTAAACAAAACAAAGTCTTGGGTGTATGGTGATAACAACCTTAATAATCCTTCACTATTTCTTTTTCTAACCCTACTTGATGTAATTAATATGAGTCAATGAATATGTTAGTTTTAAACCAAAAATGACTTGGCTACACAAGTCCATCCTATTTCTTCACTCTTTGAGCCAGGTCATCCGAGTGCTTGGTTTCTGGGGCTTTAAGCCACAACTACCTCAAATGCCCATCTGCCTTCACTCTTCCTTCACCATCTCACTTTTGCCTTCCAACACCCCTGCATTAGAAAGGAAGGTCTAACCCTATAGCAACCTTTCAGATGTAAAAGAGGGAAAATCAAGTCACAGTGCAAACCTGCATGCCAGCGTTCTTCTGAGTAGATGACAGAACCGCCTACTCCAGGGCTTTTAAATGGTACCAGCAATGGGAAGCTCCAGCCACAGCAGTTAACAGGAGGCAGGGCCTCCCTCAGCACGGACCTTGTGCACCAGAAGAGTTTACAGTTTCATAGGATGGGAGGAGTGAGCGAGGACAAACATTAACAGTGCACTTTGGTGACTAATCCACAGTCAACTCCATGTTTTGAAGCAAGCACAGTTGATATGGCCCAGTGACCACAGTTCCTGAATCACCTCAGGAGAGAGACACTGGACCTTCATTTTACATGGGAAATGTCACACAGTCTCCCTCCTCAAGCTCACCACACTTCTTAAAGAGAAAGGCAGTTAGACAAAAGCTTTGACTTCTATTTCAGAAACAGAGGAGCCTGTTTTTTCAAACTACAATAGCGTTTACTGTAGCTTAAAGGCATTCAGAGAAGTTAGTCTCCACTTGCACATAATTTGCTCACAGATAATTAACTACTCATCAACCTAAACTAGCATAAAACCAAAGGCAAAAGCAAATATGGACCACTGGTTACTCATAGTAAAATGGGAATAAGACACAAGATGCATACTATGAACAGGTCACTGCAAAAGGCATCTCGTATCCAGGTATTATATTCTGTAATCTTTTCCCAAATATAATCTCTCAGGGGGTGTGATTTAAAAATACTCCTAACTTTCTGGTTTTATTTTTCAGTACAGAACTTATGTGTATCTAACTGTAGAAAATCATTAGAAAACCAGAAATATTTAACTTTATAAATTTAATTCAGTAGTTTATTCAGGAATTATTAAAAATAATTTTTTATAATATCAAAAACCTGAAACCACATCACTAAAAAAACAAAAACAAAAAACCTCACAAAACACACATATCTATTAGGATGGCTTTGAGGGGAAAATCTGATAATATGAAGTGCTAAGAAGGATGTGGAGCCACTGGAACTTTCCTATACTATAGCAGGAATAGAAAACAGCAGAGCCACTGTGGGAAGTGTTCTCTAAAGTTAAGTCTAGTACTGACTGATAAAAGTACACTTTCAATATGACCCAGCCACTGTGCTCCTAGGGAACCAAGGAAGTTGAAATTTTTCCTCACACAAAGGCCCGTAACAAATGTTTAGAGCAGCTGTACTCATAATCATCCCAAACATTAAATAACCCAGTGAATGAATACACACTGTGATATATCCAGATAACGACAGTGTCCAGATAATGGCAGTGAGGTTGCATGCACAGAGGGATCTCAGTGGCAATAACTGACAGTACCTAGTCTTGATGGTTACATGCTATATATCATTCCATTTTTATGACATTCTAGAAAAAGCCAGACTTATAAGGATTGAGAACAAATCAATAGTTGCTAGGGAGGGTTTGACCACAAAGGGCACAATGAGAGAGGGTTTTGTTTTTTTTTAATCTAGCTTTTCTGGATTTTGGTGACAGAACTGCTATCAGGATTTTGATGATGGTTACAAGAATCCACACATTGTAAAACTCACATGACCATACAAAAAGTCAATTTTACTACACATGCACTAAAATAATAAAATCATGAGAGCATGCAATTATTCTAAAAAAGAAATAAAGATAGAAGAATAAGAACGTCTTGAGTGAAATTAAATTAATGCCTGACATACACTATTAAGAGATTTAAGGATGTACAAAGCAAATACAATGAAAGGGTTTTTAAAAATTCTGTTTGGAATAAGCCAACTGCACAGACCTTGTTTTTAGAAAACTGAGGAACTATGAATATAGTATTAGATATGGAATTTTGTTCATTAATGTTAGGTAGGATTTTAGTTATATAAGAAAAGAAACTTTCAGACAAAATTTATACATTAGGGTGTGAAATGACTTCAAAATTCTTTAGAAGCAAACAAAACCCCAAAACAGAGGGGCAAGAGAGCAAAGCTAGCATGCTGTGTTGATTTCTACTGCTGGGGGCTAGTGCATGAGGGTTTATTATACTCTGCTTTTGCGTAGATTTGGCAAGGTTCTTAATAAAATGCTTGCAAGAGGGACTTAAGATAACCCTAGATTATCAGGAAGGGACCTAAATCTAATGGCCAACGTCCTTATGGAGAGGAGATGCCATGTGAAGACAGGCAGGCTGGAGTGATGCAGCCACAAGCCAAGGGCCACTAGGAGCCAGGAGAGGCTGGGAAGGCGAGGAAGGATTTCCCCCATCAGCTGCCAGAGGGAGCGCAGCCCTGCCACCCCTGATGTCTCATTCTGAACTTCTGTGAACTGTGAGAGTATACATGTCTGGTGTTTTAAGCCTCCTGGTTTATGGTAATTTGTGATGGAAGGCCTATAAAACCAGTACAGTCATTGAGTAACTCTCCTCTGTACCACGTCAGGGTAGCCGTGACCTCCCATTCCACATGTTATCGTGTCAAGGTTACTAAAAGACAGAGAACTGCTGTAGGAAGCCATGGACTCCCTACCTGCAGACCTCATAGGTAAAATACTCTCAAGGTAGGACAATGTCCTTTCACTTGCCTAAAGATTTTCACCTGTTGGCCCAGTCCTGTTTCAGGACTACAGGCCATAGGAGGTACCCACATGGGCTGACAATTCCGGTGCTGCTACACAAATACACATGTGGACCCCCGGCATCTGGCTAGGGAGTTGGTGCCCTTAACCATGACACTAAAGTCTGTCTCCTACCTAAAAAATGGAAGAGCCAGACCCTGGCATTCGTTAACACGGTACTCTAGTGTTGCACACAGAACTGCTTAACATGACCAAACAGGTAGTAAATATGAGCAAGTGGGACAAAGATGGGTTCCCCGCACATTCTTTCTTTTGTAAACTTTTTTTTAAATTATGGGAAGCACAATACACACAAAACCAGAGTAATGATATAACTGATGATTCCTGAAATATTCATCTCCCAACTCTGACACACCAGCATCGAATTCATCTTAATGTTGACATTTCATTAATTTGGTATTATATGATCTGGTAGAAACAGTCCTCTTTTAATAGTCTTTTTTTTTCTTTAGAATCACATGTTCTTAGCTGCTGCAGCAATTTGGATGTGCAATGTCCTAAAGTTTCAAGTGTTAAAGGCTTGGTGGTCAGGGTGGAGTCATTGGGAGAGGATGGAACGGTGTTATGGTTTGTTTTTGGATGTTCCCCCCAGTCCTCATGCAGTCATGGGGTGGGTTTCCAGATTTCTGACTGATCCATGGTCCAATACTGGGATTATGGGTGTAAGCACTACACCTGCCCTGGGGCAGATAGTTTGCATATGTAACAGAGAGAAAGAGGCTGCTTGCTATCACTCCTCCCATTTTTGCTCTTGTTGCTTTTGCTATCTTCCACCCCATGAACCGTTGCCCTCTGCCATGTGCCACTCTGCCTTGGAGTCAACAGAGTAGGGACTGAAACTTTCACAAACTGTGAGCTAAATAAACCTTTCCTTCCTTAATTTTGGGTGTCAGGTATTTTGCCTTAGCAATGAGAGAAAAGTAACCAAGACAAACAGTTAGATGAGCTGGGACCTTACAGGAGACCCTTGGTTCTCTGGAGGTGTGTCCTCGAAGGGGACCGTGGAACTCTGCTCTCTTCCTCTCTGCTCCAAGGTTCATGGAGTGAGTGGTTTGCTCTGCCACATGGCCCCTGGCACTGACATATGGAACACCCACCTCAGGCCCAGAGCAATGGGTCAACCTCATCTTGGACTGGAAGCTTCAAAACCATGAGCCCAAATAATCTTTCCTTTATACATGAATTATCTCAGGCATTTCATTATAGGGACGTTTGTTTACCTATGTTAATATGTTGCTTTTTAAAATACTGAAATGGGCAGTTCTTTCCAAGCAAAATATAAAACAAACCCTCAAAGGGAGATCAATATTTTTACTACAAACAACCTAAATTTTCTATAGAGGACAAAAATTAAACAAAGTACAAAAAAATCGAGGGAAAATAGTTGTAATATACCTGACTGAAGATTAGCATTCTTAATGTATAAATAATTCTTAGAAATCAATAAGACCAATAGATATGAACCTAATTTCCCCCTACTGTTTTTACATAACAAAAAGACTTCCTTCGGCCTCCTCAGCATACAGCCTTTTGGCTCTAGAATTTAGGCGTCATAAACATTCTAGAAAAGAAGACAACTATTCTCACCTGTAAATTCATTCAAAGATGTGTTGCCCTTGAATCCAACAGCAGAGTGAGGCTGAGTCTTAAAAGCTTTTAGCTTCAGAATCCTTGCGCAGGACACAGGTAACGTATATGACAGAGACCAGAAAGACCAAATGCCACACTCTTGGTCCTGCTGGGGAGTGAGATGAGAAGTGAAAAACTCTGAGTGTTTAAAAAGGGCTAAAACCAAAATCAAATGACCCAACCCCTCTTAGAAGGCAATCTCGAATCCTGAGTTTGAAACCGTGGAAGAGAACTATTACCTTTTGTGTAAATATGGCTCTCCAGCCCAAGGGCCAGAGAATGCCTTGACTAGACTTTCCCACTGACCTAGAGGGAGGGCTCGAAGTTCTCTACCTCCCTGAAAAATAAGTTATATCTCTGCTACAAATAAGGAGAGAAAAGAGAGAGAATAAAGTGTGTTCTCAGTCATCAGGCAAAGTATATTGAAGGAAAGCCGAGCTTCCTGGATGAGGGTTTCTAGGACTCAAAAATATTTAAATGTTTAAAAATTCAAACCGTGTGAGAAGTAGACTTGCCAAATATGGTGATCATGAACTTAATTAAGCCTTAAGATCTGACCTCCTATTTATAGGAAATAAAGGGGTTGAAAACAGCAAACTAAATCATACTACACAAAAAGTAACCGAAGGAATTCAGAATGCGAGGTTCCTCAAGCTAAAGTCTCTTACCACTTTCTCTTTAAAGCCTTTTCCTGCTAATTCGTGCTTTAGTTGTAATTTCCATTACAACTAAAACAAGATTCCACACTGGCCACTGACACTAGAGCAAACTATTTGTGTACAAAAAATCCACCAACTAGGAACTAATTTAATTCTGTAAAGTCAGCCTTTAAAAGACAAATGCTCTGCACTGCGCAAGACCGGTCCGCTTCCTGAGGAACTTCCGGTTTCGAGAGCACGTTCAGGGCCAGGGGGGCGCACGGCCGGACAGGGCTCTGCATATCAGGCTTCGGTTCCTTCAGTGGGGCCAGGCAGGTCTTTAGTTACAGAACCACGTCCATAAGCACCTGTGTGTTTAAGATCTACCCTTTACATAGGTCCATATTTAGGAATGTTTAGTGTTTACTTCGTTTCTCCCCGGGACATTTGGAAACGTGAATAATCTGCTCCTTAAAAAAAATACGGCGGCAAGCCTAGTGAATACTGTTTTTACTTCAACGCTAATAAACTCAGCTCGGAGTCAAGAAGCTGTGTTCGGCAAACACCTCCGCTGGGCTTTGAGGGCGACCCCGGCGGCGCCGCACGCCAGAGGGGTAAAAGCAAAGACAACCTCGCTGCCATCGAGGCCGTCAGGGAAACAGCTCCCAGAACTCGTGCGTCACGAAAGGGTCCAAAGAACTCGAACATGAGAGACTCACTCATGCCAGAAGTTGCTTAGACATTTCTTTTGCACGTTTTGGTTTCCGCACAGATAGCTCTAAAATTAACCGCAGAAGCTCCTTCTACTCAGGTTCCTTTTACCGCCACTGTCCGAGGGGCTTCCCCGTTTCACCAGAGCCCAGGTGGGCGTCAGGCACTGTCAGCGCCCTGGGACTGTCCTGCGCGGCCTTCCGGCACCAAGCGGGCCCTCGGCCCGAGGGTTCCGGCGGTCAAACGCGTCCTCCTGTCGCGGGTCCGGGGTCGAACGCGCCCTCCGACCGAGGGTTCCGGGTCGTGCGGTTCTCCAGTCCGGGGTCCCCGCCCTTCGGCCGCGAGCTCCCAGTCCCCAGGGACGCCGGGGATTCCGACTCCGCTGCCCAGCGCAGGCGGCAGGAGCGGAGCGCAGCGTCAGGATTCCTAGTCCCCGCCCGTGCCCGGCGCCTCACCTGCGGCCCAGAGGGGCCATCAGGGATAGCGGGCGCGCCCGTGGAACAAAAATGCCCCGCAGCGCTGGCGCCGCACCCAGGCCTCCCCGGGCGGCGCCCCCTGCAGGCGGGACGCGGCAACGCACGCACCCCGCAGGCCGCGGCTCACCTGCATCTGCGCGCGCACACCTGCCGCGCCCCCCTCCCCTCCCCCGGCGCGGGACCGCAGAACCACGAGGACCCCTCGCCCGGACGCCGCTGCGGTCGCCCAGGCAACCGGCCCAAGCCGCGCCGCAAACACGCACACAACGCACCCAGGCAGGCGTGCTCGGCCTTGAGCCCGTGTTGGACGCAGACACACCTGGGACACAACCGGGACACAACCTCATCAAACAGACTGACAAACAGCTCCGCAAACTCGGGGACACAACACACGCCACAGCTCAGGCACCCCTGCGACGATTCCCGTGTTACAGGTACTCACGCACCACCGAAGCCTCACACCTGCATCCACACGTGCACGCCGGGTACGGATTGTCATGTGGCCACACGCCTCGTGCACACGTTCTCCACTTTAAAATGGGAGGGGGAACCAGAGATGGGGAACGGAGGGTCGGAAGGAAGAAAAGGGAATTTAAAGGAAAAAAAAAGAAGGGAAAAAAATGGAAGTCAAGCTTTTGTAAATGGGTAATGGAAAAAGGGTTGGAGGGAGGGAAGGGAAAAGGGACCAAAAAGAAAAATGATGAGTTATGTACATGTACAAATCCCCCATGATGAATGTGATCACTATGTACTGCACACATGTACTAATAAAAAAGACAAAAAAAAATTGGTTTCGAGGCAGTGGATGGGATGGCTTTCACTTATCGGGACTCGCATGTAGGTGGACTGCTTGAAAGCTTTTTTATAATCTGATATTTAATTCAGACATATCCATGCTGATTATGGTTGTGTTTCAAACAGCTGTGCAATTCCAGAAGAAATCGAAGAGATCAGATTCATTTACTTGTAACTTAGAATTCTTTCTTCTTGTCTTGGGCTCTTCATGATTAAATTAAAATGTACAGAAACCTCTTCTAGCATATATTTTTATCATTAACATTTTACAGGGTAGCAGTAATCTTAGCTTTTCAGAGGAAGAGAGTGCTTCTATTTTTATTGCAGTTTTTCTTTCCTGGGGAGGAGATCATGTCAGGACAGAAGTCAAATGGATGGGTCGATAATTCTTCTGATGGAAGCCAGGCATGGTGGCACACTCCTGGGACCCCAGCACTCAAACAAACAAACAAACAAACAAGTATTTCTGATAAAGGAAAATAAAAGCCGATGGTCTGGTGAGGCTGAGAAAGTTTGATCCAACAGAGATCCAGCTCTGTGGGATGAAGCCTTCAGTTTAACCAGTTTAACTTTCAAAAAAAAAAAATAGCTAAGTTTTGCAGGGTGTGGCAGTGCACACCTGTAATCCCAACACTCAGGAGGCTGAGGCAGGAGGATCATTTCGAGTTTGAGGCCAGCCAGGGTTACAAAGTGAGCTCAAAGCCAGCCTAAACTGCATAACGAGACCCTGTCTCAAAAAGACTGCAGGGTGGGCGGGGGAAGCTCAGTTTTAGGTACCGTGGTACCTCAGTTCACGAACTCAATTTGTTCCACAATTCTGGGAAGGATGGCCACAATCATGTTTATCACCCGATGTGGAGTTCACAAAAGGAAGCAAAGTTTTGTTGAATGCTTTTGTGCAAACAGAATTGTTCGTGAACAGAAGCATTAGTGAACTGGGGTGTGACTGTAGTCATTTTTGGAACGTGTGCCCCATCCAGCACCAGGTGGGTATTGAAGAAAGTACTCTTTGGCCACACTCTTGCCTTTCCAGTCAGTGAGTCTAGGTATGGGACGCTGCACACGGAGCATTTTAACAAGAGAAGCTAACGTGGGTTCAGGGTCCAGTCTGAGCAGCAGGGTCCATTAAGGAGTAACTTGTGCTTCTCAGACATTAATGCACTTGTAAATCAACTGAGGCTCTTGTTCCAGAATGCAGAGGCTGCTTTGATAAGCCAAGAAGAGGGTCTACAGTTCTGCAGATTCACAGCACTGGGTGCTGATTTACTTACCTGCAGACCCCGTGTGAAGATAGCTGCTCAGCAAGGGCAGGGGTGGGAGTGGGAGGTCCCTCATAAACGAAGAAGGCACAAGCTAGGCCTAGTGGCTCAGTGTCTGTAATTCCAGGTATCCCAGGAGGCTGAGGCAGGAATGTCACAAGTTCAAGCCCAATGAGGGCAACTTAGTGAGATCCTGTCTCAAAATAAAATTGAAGAAAGGGCTGAAGATGCAGCTTGTAGAAAAGCCATTGCATAGTGTGTGGGCAGCCCTGGGCTCAAGTTCCAATACCAGGGAAGGAGGACACCACAGATATTCTCAAGGAAATGAATTGTTCCAGATGAGTCCTTGGCGTTCCAGTTTGGGGTTGGAGGGTGCAGCAGGTGAGCCAGCTGCTCTGGGGACCTGGCTGATTCCAAGTCTGTTACGCTGTATCCAGGATGGCCAAGTCACTCCCTGCAAGGAGTTCTCACCAGTGAGCTGTGTTCCTGCTCATTCTAGTCATGCCTTTCCAGTTTACCGCCTGCCACTCCCTGCAGGCCACCGTCAAAGCACCGTATATATCTTCAAAGAAAGCACCACAAACATTTTGCTTTTCAACACCAAGGATTAAAATTAGCACATTGGGGCCGGACGTGTAGCTCCTCGGCTCCTTGGTAGAGACTTGCTGGAAAGCAAACAACAAAATCACTATCAAATTGTCTTTCACAAGAATTACCTGTTTGACTATTTATTCCCTAACTTCTCACAGGAATTGCAGGCTCTACTGTCCTAGTCTCTTTCACGCTGTTGTAACTGAAGACCTGGGTAATTTATGAAGAACAGAAATTTCTTTGTCAGAGTTCTGCAGGCTGGGGAGGTGCGGGTCCAAGAGGGAGCCAGGGCGGGTTTTGGTGTCTGGTGAGGTGGCACCTTTGGTGTTGTCTCCTTCCACGGCAGAAAAGAGAATGAACAAAGAACACAGGCTCACAAGCTCCTCTGTAGGAGCATCAAACCATCTGTGAGGGTGGAGCCCTGCTGGCCTAACCCCGGGGATGGATATGGGATAGAACCCAGGGCCTCTACAGTGAGCCACAGTGAGGCTGTGTTTCACATTTTGAGACAGGGTTTTGCTAAGTCACTGAATTCCCTGGGCTGGACTCAGACTCACACTTTTGATCCTCCTGCCTCAGCCTCCCAGAGTGCTGGGATTACAAGCATGTGACCCCTTACCCAGCCAACCTCATCACTTCTTAGAGCCCCATCTCCCAACACCATTACACTGGCAATTAATCTTCAGTGTGAGTTTTGGAGGTGAACAGCATGCAGGCCACGGCATTAGTTTTTGAGACCTGGGTGTAAGTAAGTAGATGCCTATTTTATGTTTATATCTGACTAAACACACGGCTGTTTAATGCCACGCAGAAGAGGCTGGGCTTATTTCCTTTAACCCCTCCTGCCTGCCTCCAGCATTGCAAATACCACACAGTGGGTGGGAAATTCTTCTGCACCTCTGGGAACCGTGGTTCTCTCGTGAAACAAACATCGAAAGGAAAGGCTGAATAAGGAGCGTGCCGCTGAGCCGCACAACACTATAAAACCTACTGAAATAGCACCGAAGTCTTCTTGTAAATCATGAAAAAAAAAATTTGTGGCCCCAACTAGCCTGCAGCCTACTTCCAACCCACCACGTGTATTTGTAGTGCTCTCAAAAGAACAAAAATAATTGATGAAATTCAAAATGCAGGGCTGTAAATAAAGTTTTCCTAAAATACAGCCTCACCTGTCTCTAGGTTCTTTACAGCTGCTTTCTCCCAATAGCAACAGAGATGAGTAGTCCAAAGCATTTATTATCTGCCATTTTGTTTAACCTGCAAACTTTGTAACTCTAGCGTCTGTCTGTCTTGCTCTGAGACAGGGTTTCACTATGTAGTTCAGGCTGGCCTTGAATTCACTATGTAGCCCAGGTTGGCGTTGCAGTGATCCTCCTGCCTCAGCCTCCTCATCACTGCACCATGATGCCTGGCTCCAGCTTCTTTTTAATGCCTGCCTCTTCCTTTCTGTTTTTTTTTTTTTTTTTTTTTTTTTTTTTTTTTTTTTCCCGGTACCGGGAATCGAACTCATGACCTCGTGCTTGCCAGGCAAGTGCAGTGCCACTGAGCTAAATCCCCAGCCCTTGCCCCTCCTTTCCATAAGGAGTGAATCTGTAGGGTTATTCCCTATGGCCCAAGTGTCATGAGCCCAGGTCTATATTCCTTGGTATGTTTCAGGCACCTCATGCCACAGCAGAGTCCTTATTTAATAATATTTATTTCATTGGAGTTTACTCTTTGATCTTTTCTCCTATGTAAATCAATAATGAACTCAACAAAAAGTCTTCATAGTTGCTACATATGTTAGGCTAGTTTAGAAAATATGTGTGTAGAAAGCAGACAATAGAGGGGCCCGGGATATAGCTCAGTGGCATAAGCGCTTGCCTGGCAAATG